TCAAACTGATGTGATCAGTAAATACATTTTTTTAAACGCCACAACTTTTATCTGAAACATTTTTTTCTAAAATGCTTAGTTTTCGAGATATTTCACCGGTCCGGGACTTTTTGAACACCCTGTATAAGAATGTATGAACATGAATGGACAAATTTGATACATAATAATATATAATTATATATAATTATATATAATTTTATATAATTTTATATAATTATACATGAAAAATTTTTCATTGGGTAGTTATAAAATAAAATTAAGAGTCACACAAAAAACACTTGGCGTGCCCGGACATATAAATAATTAAATATAATTTAAATATATTTTTCAAACAGTATTTTGTATATCAATTTGTAAATTTCAATGCACCTTATTGCGACACGGGCACGTCAAGTGTTTTTGTGTGACTTTTAATTTTATCATATATAATAATAATAATAATAATAACAATATCCTAGTAAACCAAAAGTAACATTACGTCAATGTTATAATTTCTCATTCAATAATGTAACTGTTATATACAATATATATTATATTACATTTATATTATATTATTACATTGCTGAGTGGAATTATAACATTGATATAATGTTATTGTTAATTGAGATTTTTTCTAGGATATGTAATAATTATTATAATATATAATATTGTATATACATAATATTTAGATCAATTTTGATTGTTACTCGTGCAGGTAGTGGAAAATTCGAAATATCGGAAGGCAACTCTACAATCGTGAGTGGACTGATACGCGTTGTATCGAATCTCGCGCAGGAGAAGGTATCAGCCAAATACATACCGGCAGATGACGATGAAGAAGAAGTGATGAACACCAAGGATATCTACAAGGAACTACGGTTACGCGGCTATCATTACGCGAATATTTTCCGTGCCTTGAAAAGCGCATCGATTTCCGGGAGAAAAGGACACATCAGTTGGATCGGTAATTGGGTGACATTTATGGACAATATGTTGCAGCTGATGATCTTAGGATTAGACACGAGAAATTTATACGTGCCCACGAAAATACAGAAGATCGTGATCGATACTAAATTCCACTACCAGGAGATCCGAAATATGACTTCAGAAGATAGACGTGAGTTTATACGCTTTTTCTTCAGTTACCAGAAATATGTTTACCCGATCACCCTGCACCATGTTCTCGATTCCCACTAAACGCAACTAATGTAACTGTGTTGATTTTTACTGCAGAATTTCCTGTACATGTGTACAAAGATCTGAACACCATAATATCAGGCGGTATCGAGATTCAAGGTCTTAGAGCTACATCCGTACCTCATCGACCAGCGACTAGCGACCCGGTCATCGAAGAGTACAAGTTTGTGGCTCACCGTGACGGGGCGCGAATCTCTCTGGAAGAAGCTGTCAGACTATCGATGCACATTGCGCTCGAGTATCATCAAACCATACACGTGAAGGCTGTCGAATTGATCGACGAATCCGATAATGTGACCGCGGAAAAATTGGTGTCGCCTATTCTGACCACAGTTCTAGGTGATTTACCTTTAATTCAAATGAACATACTTTTGACGACGCCGGCTGATCGATTTAACACGTTACCGTCGAACATACATACCATTGATGCGAAGAAACTGGCCAAGGAGGAGAACATTCTGCTCGTCGTCGGTATCGGGCTTTCGAAGAAGGATCAGCTGCAAGAAATTCTGCCGAAATTAAAGGACGGTGGTTTTGTGTTGACACGCGAGAAATCGTTCAAACCCGAGAACACTGCGGCATTATCGAAACTCGGCTTAGATGTGATTCTAGAAAAGAGCACCGACAAGGAAAAAATTTTGCTATTGAAAAAGAGAGAACGTGTAATCAGGAAAACCGAGATCGTCCACGTTAATAACAATGAGTTATCTTGGGTCGAAAAGCTAAATTCCATTATAAACATAGAGAACAAGAACACTGATGATATAAGGGTGATACTCGTCAGTGAAGGAGAGCTCGAAAGTGGTTTGTTGGGCTTCTTGAATTGCTTGAAGAAAGAGCTAGGCGGAAGAATGATCAGAGGCGTGTTGATTCAAGACAAGCAGGCGCCCAAGTTTTCCTTGCAAAATCCTTTGTATGAGGAACAGCTTCAACTCGAATTACCAATCAACGTGTTGAGGCCTGGTAATGTCTGGGGATCTTACAGGCATCTACCGATACTGTCGCAATTGAAACCAAAATTGGTTCATCACGCCTATGTTGATCAATTGGTACGTATCGTAATGACTCATAAAAAATATTAATCTTATATTTTCATAATATTATTGCTATATGTATATAATTTCTTGGAGTATATTATATAAATGATATTACATTATGAATATACATGATATTACATTATTAATGTACGAAAAATAGGTGAAAGGTGATTTGAGCTCATTACGTTGGGTCGAAGGCCCCATACGTCCTAATTCTACTCAGGAGAATTTAGTCCATGTAGCATATGTATCTCTCAACTTCAAAGACATTATGTTGGCCATGGGAAAACTCAATTTCGACACATCCATAGAGTTTAATCGATTCAATGAGTGCATGCTTGGTGTAGATTATGCCGGTATTAATACTGCTGGCCATCGTATAATGGGAATGCAGAAATACAGGTTATCATTCAATGACTTAATATTGTGATTTATATTTAAGACTGTATAATTTTCACTTAAATTATGTAAAAACTTTTGAAAATGATTTCGCAAGTGTTGAGATTTTAATCCAAACGTAACTGTCGGAATCTCATGAAATTACAAGTACATAGATGTTTACGGTACACAAGACATGAAAGTTTTTATAATATTTTATGTCCAATTTTTCTCTTCTTATAAAAATGAGAGATAATATGTTTTAATTCGAGTGTGAATAATTTATTCGCATATATACTTTTAACAAGTAAGTGCTAAAAATAAAGTCGATATAACTTTTATTGGATTTACGACTAGTCATTTATGTATTAACTTTTTGTACGCATACAGTATGCACAAGTGAAAACAATATGAATACAATAGCTCCCAACTTACATATTAATTAATACATTAATTGTTATTATAACTATTATACTTTTAATAATGAAGTAATGAGTGTTGAAGTTGTCGTGTATAATTAAGTAAAAATTGAAAGCAATGATACTTGTCACTGTTAGAGAGATTTGATTAATTTATTATATTAATTGATTATTTAGTAATTTTTCTCTCCTGAGAGAAACATCATGCGCGCGTCTCGGGATATTTTACGATCAGCAGCTAGCGTGATCGATACGTTTGTATTTTCAGAACAATGTCAAACATCGTCGAGTACGATAGAAACCTGTGCTGGCGCGTACCTGACGATTGGTCACTTGAGGACGCAGTTACCGTGCCCTGCGTCTACGCCACATGCTACTATGCGTTGTACATGTGCGGTAATATGAAGAAAGGCGACAAGGTGCTCATACACTCCGGTACCGGCGGCGTCGGTCAGGCGGCGATCCGTCTTGCTCTCCACGAGGGCTGTGAGGTGTTCACCACCGTGGGAACATCCGAGAAACGGGAGTTCATTCGCAAGATGTTCCCGTCAATCTCCGACGATCATATTGGCAACTCGCGCGACACCAGCTTCGAGCAGTTGATACTACAGTATACAAACGGTGGTGGCGTGGACATCGTCCTGAATTCGTTAGCTGACGAGAAGCTCCAGGCGTCAGTTCGCTGTCTGGCGAATAGCGGCCGCTTCCTGGAGATCGGCAAGTTCGATCTTTTTGCAAACACTGCTCTAGGAATGATAATCTTCTTGAAGGAAGTCAGTTTCCACGGGGTTGTATTTGACAATATATTCGAAAGTACCGAAGAGGAGAAGTTGGAGATTAACAACTTGTTGGCCGAAGGCCTGAGAAACGGGGCTGTCAAGCCGCTGCTTAGGAAAGTCTTTGAAAGGGACAGCGTAGAGGCAGCTTTCAGATATATGACAACCGGCAAGCATATGGGCAAGGTAAGGATAAAAGTTATAATGTAAATGAAATATAACAATAAATTAAATAATTTATATAAACAACTTTATATAAGACATCTATTATACATAGATATCTCATATTTGAAAGTTTCAAGTTTAATTTGTCAGATGAAAGATCCAAAGTGAGAGAGTTAATTGCAACCAATCCATCTTTCAGTGTGTTACGTTCTTCTTGTAGATAGTCTTGAAGATTTGCGACGAGAAGAAGATTGAGAAAGTACCTATTCTTGCCGATCCTCGATATTACTGCGACGGTGAGAAAAGCTACATTATCCTGGGCGGACTAGGCGGTTTCGGTTTGGAACTAGCTGATTGGCTGATTCTTCGAGGTGCTAGAAACCTGATATTGGTATCAAGAACGGGAGTAACAAACGGTTATCAGCGCATGAGAATTGAACTGTGGAAGTCTTACGGCGTGAACGTGCTGATTATCACAGGCGCCGACGCTGCCAATCGTAAGGACTGCGAGTTCATAATCAAGTCCGCGGCGAAGCAGGGTCCAGTGGATGCCATCTTCAATCTCGCTGTGGTGCTGAAAGACGCTCTTTACGAGAATCAAACGATACAGTCGTTCGAGGAATCCTTGAAACCGAAGGCCTGGTCCACGAAGATATTGGACGAATTATCCAGAAAATTGTGTCCGCAACTGAAACATTTCGTAGTCTTCTCGTCGGTCTCCTGCGGCAAAGGAAACACTGGTCAGACGAATTATGGTATGGCTAATTCTGTGATGGAAAGGATCTGCGAGAGGCGGGTAGCGGATGGCCTGCCAGGATTGGCTATCCAGTGGGGCGCGGTCGGTGATGTTGGTCTCTTTGCCGAACGGCAAGGAACCAACAAGGAGCTCGTCATCGCTGGTACTCTCCAGCAAAAGATATCTTCTTGCCTGCAGAAGTTGGAGGTCTTCCTATTGCAAGATTATCCAGTGGTTGCTAGCATGGTGGCAGCCGAGAAGCGTACGGGTCTTTATGGTGTCGCCAATGTCGTAGAAACTGTTCAGAATATAATGGGTAAGATTGTTGCTCTTTAATATCATATCAATTTTATATTATCAAATAAACATGTTATATTTAATTGTATTATGATATAATTAGATATTATAATATAATTAGATTTTATCAAATATTATTATTATATTAATATTTTAAATAATATTATTAAACTAAAAATGTTATTGAATGATATAACTAAATATCTTTATAAACATTCTTATTAATATAAGAAAATAAAATCTATTGATACAACGATAGGCGAAGATTGGAATATAAGGTATTATATCAGAAAGTGATTAAAGAAAGATTGATAGATTATTGAGAATACTAATAAAAGACACCAGTACATACCGTGAACAGTAACAGAACAATACATATATGTGATATTATTACGCAGAATAGGAGTCACCCATTTTAAGAATACTCTCTGATACTTCCCGTGTTCGCAGGCCTAAATGATCTGAAGACCGTCGCTCAGCACATATCGTTGGCCGAACTTGGAATGGACTCGATGATGGCTGTGGAGATCAAGCAGACATTAGAACGCGAATTCGATATGTTCTTCACCCAGCAGGACGTTCGCAATCTGACCTTCTCCAAACTGGTGGAAATGGACAAGAGCACGGCGCGAGAGAAGTCGCAGAGCAAAGGCGACGAGAAGACGACCGAGTTACCCGGCATGCAACTGCTGATCCGAGTAATAGGCAACAAGGACATAACTAACGATGTCTGTCTGGAACTACAGACCAAGAAGGACAAGCGCAAAGTCGACGTATTCCTCATGGCGGGAGTGGAGGGTTGCGGACACATTTTCAATCCGTTGGCATCGAAGATCAGAGCCGCGGCAACGTGTCTACAATATGGAATATATAATATCGGGGTTGGCCATACTTCCATACCGGATTACGCCAAACATCTGTTACCGGTGCGTGTATATAAAATATATACATATATATAATACAAGACACACACACATTAACGTGTGCTTTTCTTGGAATTTCCACAGTATGTTTTACCGAAAGTAGAACAGCAGAGATTCTTCGTTCTGGTAGGCTATTCGTACGGCTCGTTAGTCGCCATTGAATTGGCACGGCTATTGGAAAGTAACGGTTTGAACGGCCGGTTAGTGTTGATCGACGGCGCGCCAAATCTAATGAAGACGATGATAGAGCAGTTTATACCGTGCTCCACAACAGAAGAATTACAGAATAATGTTCTGCTCAGCGTCACGGATCTTTTGCAACCAGCCGCGAGTGGGAAGGTAAATACCCTTTTTTAAATTGTCTACTTTCACAATATCCTAAATAATATTCTCTCAGCTCCTCCATGTTGATGCGCTATTCGCCATAACATCTTATGACATTACACTCTTTTTTTCTCTGTCCACAGCTGCTTTTAGATTTAAATAAGTGCACTAACTGGGAACAGAAATTGGACTACTTTATCACGTACTTCTCCAATACCAACATATCACTTTCCATGGAGAATCTGAAAGCATTGTGTATGACCATTTACCAACGTCTTCTCGCACTGCAGAAGTACGATGTGTCGTCCGTGCCGCCTTTACGATCGCCCATAGTACTTCTAAAGCCTACACTACAATCCATCCAAATGCCTGAAGAAGATTACGGCCTTTGCAAGGTAACTTTTGAACCCATTCGTTTTCTTATCTTTTTCTTTTCGAATGATTTAATATTATCTAATTAAATATTTCCAGGTCACGCGAGACAAGGTGGAAATACATTACATCGAAGGCAATCACATCACAATGCTGGACAGCGACAAAGTTGTAGCTGCGATCAACGGAGAGCCAATGCTAGACTCTAAGGCGTTTAAGAAGCTCCTAATAGAAGATAAGCCACTTGAATTTCCAGAAGAACGTACCAGAAAATAAATCGAAGTTTAGAAATTTGATACACAATTATAATATCCCACTGTTATAATCATATTATCATCATGTTATAATCATATCATTATTATATTAATGTTATATTATTAATATATATGTCCAGGATGTTCCAAAATTTGAATAACGCTGTGATGGTGATTAAAGAGGTATCTACGTCTACATCTCATAGTCTACAGTAGTTTATAATAAATATAGTTGTCTTTTGTGTTTATACTTTTTTTAACATCAAACTTTTCGCAAGCGCGCACGCGCTATTTGTTGTAATATTTTTATATCCGAATTTGTGTGGGAACATCCTGTACATACATGCATATTCTGGATGAATTTGAAATCGGTGAAAAAATACATATAATGTATAAAAGACATGGTTTTTTCTTAAAGATATAATAGATGCATATAATGATTGCATTCTTACCTTTTAATAGACTTTTAGTATTAATATTTGTTTCGTTTTTCAACAATATAATAAACAGATATGAAATTTAACACGTTTTTTTCCTATACATACTCCGTACGTCTATGAGAAATGAAAACATCGTAAATACATTCACAGTTACGAAAATAAACACAATACAACGTTTGTTGAACAATTCTTTCCTCAGCTTGCAAAAATATTATGCACAAATTGGTTTTTTATCATATAAATCGGTTTTTTATCACTGATTTACTTATCAAGTATTAGCCGAGTGAAAACTTTTTGATGTAATGTTACTGTTGGTATTTACTGAGTTATTGGAACTCTTTGGAACAAAGAGAAAATTCCCAGAATATTTTATAAGCATGCTCAATTGATCATGTCATTTCATAAGCATATGTTTATTTGTTTTTTTGTAAGAATTTTGGGCGTGTATTTTCTTGTTTCTGATATTATTAATTGAGATAACACAGAGGCCACAATCCCTAACAAATAAATTAAAGTTAAAAGTTTACGATATTGTAATATATTAATAGAAGATATTAAAATTTGAAATAACAGTTTTGTCATGTCACAATTGTATTTTAATGCAAAACTAGCATACATGTATTCAATTATATGTAGCGTAAACATTAATTATATGATCATTTGTTATCTCGTTCTTTAAATAATTAATTTTCACTCACATATTCACTCAATCTTATTTGCAAACGATGAATTGAGAAGACATTGTTAGTAACATGTTCGTACATTTTACATGATCGTGACTTATTTCAAACAATGCCCTTTAAAAGGCAACAGATTAAAAATCGCCAAATTATATAACGATTATGTTATATAAATAAAATAATGTATAGAAAAAAATATTACATACAAAAAGAAATTGACTTACTTTAGTAACTGAAATAACATACAAAATTATCGAATGAAAACAAAACGATAATTCACGCTCGAAGATCCACATCTCAAATTTACATACAAACGCACTATCACTCCAAAGATTATTATACAATGGAATAGCGCGAAGTCTCTATTTTATTTCTTATTCTAATATCTATTTCACATCTTATAGTTCCTGGGTACTCGCCGCGGCTATGTTGGACTGTGACTTCATAAACGAGAAATGGCATACAAGACTTTTGGACATCATTTTCTTGTTTCTGACGTCATCAATCCAAAATTTCGTGACGAGTATCCACGAGTCTTACATAGTACTGAAGATAATTATTTTCTTAGAGAGAATCCATCATTTATATTTTCCTGTTTTGAATATATGTAGATGAAGTGCGTTGAGAAGTCAACTGGAGATCCTCACAATTCCATAGGCTCAAACGTTGATTGGACACTATCGGACGATATACGATTTAAATCGGGAATGGCGTCACTGTTATTGTTATTATTATTATTATTATTATTATTATTATTATTATTATTATTATTATTGTCATCTGATGTACTTGGAATTGGCGTTGGTGTATCTCTGGTTGGTAAAATACGAAGGTGCTTGCTCGGTGGTTCCCAAAGGACTAGAGCCATGGAAGGCCTCTCCCTGAAAGAGAAAAACTAGTCAAATTTAACTTCTTTGCAAAAGTATATTGTACATTTTATATAACAGATTGTTGTGGAGGAAAAACAGAAAAGTATAAAAAAGTTCTGCATTTTGCAGATGCATTGATGTGCCAGTATTTTTATATGTAGAATAATGAATCGATTTTTTATATATAACAACTATATTATATATTTTCTATTCAAAACATTCTATTTAAATAGAATATAAGACAAATTCTATTTTAGATAATCTTGATGACATCTTAATGGTGCAATCCAAAGGGTTAACGTAAGGTCATAATCTCATGTTTCTCTTAGAACCAAATAATCATTATTGAAACATTTTTTTTTTAAATAGAATTGGAATAATTATAATGATGCGTTAAAATGAGATCTATTTTATATAAATGTGCATGTCTGCATATATTCTTTGTCTCCTTTGTCTGCATTAAGTATAAAATATTTTTTAATATCCAATATATAATTTAACAGAAAATTTATACTTACAATTTAGACAGAAGAGTCGACGGGAGGATGGGCTCCTGTTGAATTCGCTTCAACTCCTCTGAAAGAACTAATCTCGGGTGTACATGATCTGCTTGGTCGGTATTTACTGTATTGTTCGCCGTGTCGACATCTAGATCCATGTCCGATTGCTTATGAGAGAAGGACGTATCGACTTTCGAAGTCGACGGCACCGAACTCTCGGATTGATGATTGCAGCTAATGTGCAAATCTTTGAAGTGTGCAGCCATTTTCTCTTCCGTTATAAACTGTTTGGTACGACGATTGCTTGCAAAACAATACGTCATAAGATTTTACAAGTGATTAATCAGTAATTGATATTTATTGATATTGATTAATATTTACATATCTACACAATCTAGCATCTCTAACTTCCTCTTCTGATGAACTATTGGTCCATAACTAGTCTCCCCTGTGAACCTTATCACTTCTGGTTGTTGCAAGGCTGGTACGCTCCATGGAATGCTTATCGGTGGCACTTGGGGCATTTGCATCCATTGTCCAACCTGTTGCTGTTGTGTATTTTGCTGGCTCATCATATGTTGAAAGATAGATTGTGGTGTACGTACATAAGCTCCACCCATGGCATTCTGCAATAAAAGACAAAAATAATTATAATATTATACAAGTAGCATCAAGTAAAATATTAACTACATACTATATATATATATGTATAAGATACATATAGAATATATGTATATATGCAGAAAGTAATAAGTAAATTGATTGATACAATTAACTTAAAGGCAAATTTATAATTTTTGCAATTAATAATTACTTTCACAATCAAGTTAAGAGGATGCCGACATAATCCAGTTTTGTAGTTTGCGCTGTTTCTCTATTTGTTTGTATAGAATTGCAAATCTTTTTACAGAATAAAAGTGCAAATGTCAATATATAGAAAGACACAAAATATTCTATAAAAATTAGAGTAATTTTATTTACAAAATTCTTTTTGTTTTTAACACAACACTTGATGTTTTCATAAACTGACGCTTGTAATTTCATTCTGAAAACATTTGCAATCCTGTGCAACCAAGTAGGAAAATAGTAAAGGCCATAAGACTGCATCATATGTCGGTATCCAACATCCTCTTAAAGACAAGTTTTCATAAGAATTAAAGACAAATTTACTCACGGTCATTTGACGCGTATTAAGTTCTTGCTCTGCGCCTTGGTTCGTGCGTGAACCTTGTCGAGCCAGGATAACACCGATTACCTCGTAGACCGACACATGTATTGTGACGTTTGCGTTTTATTATATATATATATATATATATATATATATGTGGTTCACGAAATTAACAATACACGATTTCGTTTCTGCAAACAAAACTGACGAGATAACAAGTATCGTTGGCCGCTAACCTATATAGTGATTCAGATCAAACAAAGTGCGTACTCACGATAACGTATGTTTATTTCAAATGAAAATTATATTCAGACGAAAATATGTACGGATATGTATATCGTGCGTTATATCGCCGTTTATTGTTTCCTCTCGTCAACCGCGTATTTCCTCAATTTTTTACAGAAAACTTGCGAATTTCCGTGTAGTGTTTATTTCGTCCAGCTGCATAATTTTCAGTGCAGCAAGAGCAGGCAAGAGAGCGCATTTGAGAGCGGCCACATACCGTACGAGATTTTACGCCACTTTCTTCGATGCGCCCTCTGAAGTAGTGGCGACGTATTTGTTAGCCGAAGATCATGTAAAATTTTCAGATATTTGAATATTGTATTAGACCTAGGCCCATATATATTCTTGAAATTTTTGCGTATACGTAATTTTCATTGTGCAGCTATTTTATGGTATGATTAAACTGCGCAGTAAAGCTTACGTATACGCAACTATTTCAAGAATAACCCAGTAAGCAAGAAATCATTAATACAACGGCTGCGTTCAGAAAACATAGCTGATCAGTGAGCGGTTAGTGATTATTGGTCCTTATTGTTAGATCTCTAACTTTAGACCAATTACATTGACGAATTGCTCAACTATTGTGCAATTGTTGAGTTCGCTGAATGCACCCAACGTTGTTACAATGATATTTAAGAATCTGTAATATTGTCAAATATGTTTAATATTGTATCAAACATCATTATGAACATACTTTGATCGCGATTTGGAAGTTTCAATAATGTTGAAATAGGGTTGCTATAACGTTTTAATCGGCAGAAATATTTTTAAGATGTTATTGATCTCAAATAAATGTAAAGTAACATTTGAAAAATATATGTTTTGTAATGTTTTTAAAACGTTTAAACAACATTCAGAAAAATCATCACAAAATAACATGTGAAAAATATAAATGCAATATTATTAAAAAATGTCCAAACAATGCACATGAAGTCAATGTTCAATTTCTAAACGTTAATTTAATATTCCTTGCTTACTGGGAAGGGCCCTGAAGAGAGTATATCGATGAGATATCCCAGCAAACACATGTAACGTACATGTTAGTTGTAATTTCCTACTCAACAATATAACTGTTATATAACATGCGTGTTATGTAACAGTTATATTGTTGAGTAGGAAATTACAACTAACATCCCAGGTAGCAAAGTGACGTCTAAAGACGTCATTAAGACGTTATTAAGACGTCTATGACGTTTTAATGACGTCTTTAGACGTCACCTTGCTACCTGGGATGTACGTTACATGTAACATTGTGTTTGCTGGGATTATTAATGACAATCAGGAGACAATCATTATTTTTGAAAAATATCGATTTGCGATATTCCTCGAAAATAAAGTCGCTGGCGTAAATTTTTTGAACAGGCAAACGGGACCCGAGGGATTCGGAGATAATTGAAGGACGATATTATCAACCATTTTTAGCAATCCCGATATAAATATTTGAATTCAATGCCTAGTGAAGTATTCAAATGTCATCAATTACTGAACTGAACTCTGAAGAATTCTTTTTGCATCTGAAAATGGACTCAGAATTGGTGACATACGATTGAATTCTTTTTTAATTCTCTGTGCTATCTGGGCAGGTAATAGGCTCGCGTCAAAATGACGTCAAAATCAGTTCATGACCAAAAGTGACTAAGGAATGATAAAAAATATCGTGAAAATGTCGTTAAAATGACGATCTTATGTCTCACCGATGACGACATTTTAAGACGATTTAATGACGTCTCTAAACGTCAATAATAACTAAATAATAATTAAGACGTAGCACAGAAACGTTATCACAAAAAAGATGTCTTAATCAGTTAGCTGTACTGCATGACGAGTATACTCGTCATAACGTAAAAAATTGCCATTTCTTCATGACAAGTATACTCATACACAGCTAACTGGTTAAAGACGTCATTATTTAGTTACCTGACGTCAATCGATTAGTTATGACCAGTTTTTGACGTCATTTTCACGTGAGTCTGCTACTTGGGTATCTACTAATTGAAAGTTGCTGTCGCGGGTTTCCTTATCAGAGATTACATAATTTGTTGTTTACTTATATATTATTTTAAAATAATATTAAAGTTTACTTATATAAAAATCTTAAAATTTCACAAGAATATTCAAATATTCAATAGAATTTCATGAAATCTATTCAGTTGATATGACGAAATTATTTTCAAATAGAAAAAGGAACGTAAGTACGCGCTGTTTTTGTAAAGATCTGAATGTAAACTTCTTAATACTCCGCGATGGAAGTGTACGTAACATATCACATCACTACACATCCACTACACATTGAACGCATTTTCGCTAATCGCTAAACTAAAAACCTGTTTGTTACAGGATTGGCTGGGAAAGGTCGACGCGTGAAAGGCGAAGGAATCGGAAAATCTGTGGCTACACAGAGCATAACGATCAGTATAACTCGGCGGAGTAGTGTGGCGAATACATTATAAGAATTACTCAGTATTGCTCGATATCACGGTATCATTTTAATTACTGTGATAGGGAAAAGATTTTCCTTATACCAGTTCGAGGAATACGTAATACACATTCCTGTAAGTACACATCCAATCAGCAAACGGACTTCTGTTTGGATATACAAGATATCTTGAGAACATTTTATTATGTTCCACGTACTTCTTCAGGTCGTCGTAAGGAATAGTTCAAATTATACAAAATAGAAAATAGAAATATTCTCAGGGTATTCCAAAGTCCTAAGAACGTTTGTAGAATTCTAGATAGACATATTTCGGCATATTATCTGTTTAGTGATTAGTACAAGAGAGACAAGGCGCGTCCTTATTTAATAAGAATTTTTTTTAGTCTATAAAAGAAGTTATCTGAAAATTATGGCAATATTATGGTAATTTAGGTGTCATAAAAATTGCTGCTTATTTTGCTGGAAAGAGAACACAATTAATTATTACTATGTACTAGTAGAAGGTAATTTATTTTGATTGAAATTGTGGATATTGATGACGTGAAATTATGACTGTAATAAATGGATATTTCTTAAAGCAAACAAATGTTTTAAATACGTTGTGCTGTTACAATACAGTATCACAAAGTATATATTAAATGTTTGCATTTTATGTTTAGCATTTCTGTCTATCTGCGATATTTGTAGGACGCTTATAAATCTTGGAACAGCCACAATGTATTCATAATTAAATTATTGAAGTACTTTATATGTTATTTTAAGCTGCATTTAATATTTTGTTAGGACCACTTTGAAATAAATTCAAAAATTATTATTTACAGAAAACACACGTTACATCACACATAATAAATAAACAAATTCCGTCTCATTAACTTTAACTTTTGCACACATAAAAACTGATAGAAATTTCCAAGATTCAACTTGTTTCAAAACAGTTTGAACACTTCTAGATAAGCAACAATTAACAGTAACACTACATCAATTATAATTTGTTCGACAATGTAACTGTTACATAACACACGCGTAATATTACGTTTAGATTTCTGAATGAAAAATTATAACACAAATGTTGCGTTACTGATTATTATAATGGTGTTTACTCGATTTTTCCTCAATGCATTGGCTGTATTCTGATATTAGTACAGAACATCCTGAGATTATCCTGAATGTACTTGGTCCTAGAGCACTTCCCAGGTCATTTTGGACATATTCAGAATGATTCTGAGACGTTTTGTGCTGTCAGAGTCAGTGCCAACAGTGAAAATCTATAGTTCATGTTACACACATAATATAATGTCAACACTAGTAGTAATTATTGGAATGCAACGCGTGTCGCTTTTTGCTGTGTGGCGTTTCCGTGTTCTATATGTGCAGAAGTCATTATTCGAGCACGTGCAAGATATTTGTTAATTAAACTAATTAACAAGTTTAATTAATTACAAGTTTAGTTAAAACTAATTAACTAAGTTTAAATAATTAAACTAATAAATAAATAAGTAAATATATTAGTATAATAAAGTATAAAATATTAGTATAATAAATATAACTATAAATAAATAAGTAAATATATTCACAATCAATAACTAAATATACATTCAGTCGAATAAAATAATTTAAGGATTTTTATGAGAGGCAAATTATTAAATATATATTTGTCTATTTACTGATTTATAATGTCGAAAGCTGAGAAGCAGCGATAAATTAAAAGTTTCAAATTGTCTGATCAAAAGAGCAAATTACTCAGTTCTTCTTTCTCAGTGAGTTCTTCAAAGTATAGCAAGATCAATCGAAAGAATCCGACCAACACCTTCGGACGTATTGGTAATAATAGAGAGAATAACAGATCAATGACAACGCATTTATATGCTCGTATTGAGATTCAAAACAGAGTCATTCTTAGCACTTCCTACGAATACGGATAAAATAGGAGTTTTTACAGCAATAAATATCGTTGCAACTCAGGAAAGAAGATCAGGAAGTCGGACGTGTGGTTACAATAAATTTTCTTATCGTCTTGAATCTATCCTTAAAGTGGGACCAACACGTCGTGTTAGACCTGACACGAACGCACCAATGAGTCATTGGAATATCCTGTGCTGGGCAAATAAAGACTCGCCGCGTACGGAGCTCTGTACGCCGTTCGAATGCAAGTTTTAAAATTAGCCGGAAAGATAATCGGCCGAAGTTCAAATGAAAACTCAGCGATAATTCCTTCTGGCAACTGAAGAGAGCAAGAACGATTCGGTAAATCGTGGCTTGTGCGATTCGGCGAATATGTATGTTGGCGTTCCCGACATATTCCGACGATTACGTGTAAACGGACACACAGAGACGTGTACGTGTACATAGACTAGTGTGCGTACACAAGCGCGACTCAGCGCAATATAAGCGATTATTTCACCTGTCAGAACGCAAGCTCTCCATAAATAATACCGTCGTTTGTTCCGCACCGTATGTTTACGGAGAAGACTAATTTTCCTTCGGCGAGATACATCGTGACGTGTTCAGCGACGCGCATTCCTCAGGTAGCAGAAACTTCTTAATGGCTTCTTAGAGATATCTGTTTAAAGGACGTTCTACTTTCTCAAATGTCTTTTAAGTATCTTTTAAGCGTTTCTGAAAAGTCTTTTGGAAGCTTATGCTATCCCGACCAGAGGTGATCAGCTCGACCCGAAGTGGCAGAAACACAGGGTGAAATATTGGCTGCGTTCGAGGAGACGCTATTTAACGCTATGAGTGTGCTTTGTCCTTGTTTGTTCCTCAAAGTTGAACAAGGACAGAGGATGCTCATAGCGCTAAATAGCGTCTCTCCGAACGCAGCCTATAGTACAAGTTACAATGGAAATTTTGTCATCTTGGACCATATATAGAGAATGGTCGAAATTATTATTTTTTTTATACATTAGAAAATATTATACACCTTTGATCACACAAAATTATTGTATTTATTTCAATTTGTATTTACTACAAAATTATTGTATTTATTTCAATTTGTATTTACTACAAAATTATTGTATTTATTTCAATGTTTTTTATATACCAGATAGATCATCAAATTTACTATTTTTACAGCAATTTATACTATAATGTCATAGCATAGTTAAGTTTTACAAACAATACTGTAAAAAGAAATACGACTTTAATATAATTTTTGCTACGATATTATCTTCTTGTGTAAATAAAAGATATATATTAAAGATATATATTAAAGACTTCTTAAAAGACATCTTACTTCTTCATCTTTTAAGCAGTTTTAAAGTATTTGTATCACCGTATTACTAGAAATTCATTAAACAAAATTACGTTTTTATACATTTATTTCATTACCTAAACATGTTAAGTTAGAGCAAAATTGAGATAAATAAATAAATAAATAAATAAATGTATATATATACACACAATATATTACAAATATGCAAAAGATTATTTTTTAATGCTTTATTTATGTATCAGTTTTATCTAATAAAAATACACAAATAAAAATAGCTATATAAGTATTTAAACATGTGTATATGTATTTTAATAAATTATTATAAATTATGAACTTTCCATAGTTCTTCAATTATAAACTTTTCACAGTTTGAAAACAAAGTGGTCAACAATTCTGAAATCATTGAGAAAAAATGCCAAAAAAAATATAAAAAATATTCGGTAGATGTTAATAATATATTTACTGAAATCTAAATTCTCTTATTTAAATAGAATAAACAATTGCTTTCACGAAAGGCTAAGGACTTAAGAAAATGTATATTTAAGCGATTAGAAAATATCCTAGATAAATATCTCACGCGATGCCGGTGATCACATCATACCTTTCTCGTCTCGTATTTCGCCTTGAGCGATCTATCTATCAATATCACGATGGACTACCGCGCTTTCATATCTTGTTTAATCAACTGGGAATATTCTCTCTTTCTCTCTCGCGCCATGACCCATTGTCGACTATCGTCATCGCGGAGACAGAAAAATCAACGTTACTGGCCGCGACTATCGGCTACCGTGCTCTCCTCGCGGGCACGTGAGAGGTGGATCATGCATCGCCGCGGCATACATTCACACATGGACACGGCGGCGGGAGGCCGCGCGGCCGGTTATTATGTCGCAGATATGGCTCGAAGGTAATTAATACTATTGTTATGATTCAGATAGGTACGCCATTGTCTGGACATCTTGGCTCGGCAATGCGATCTTCGGCAGTCGGAGCTGAAACGCGCGGCAGGTACGGTCGCTCGACGTCTTCCGAGAGCGAGCGAGCGCGCACGCGATGACACACCGCACGCATCAGTCGCATGTTTGCCGATGCACACCTCGTCGTCTCGGGGATTGCGCTCACGACATCGGCGCTGATAGATGTAATATGACCGCTCTGGTGGGATTGTGCAATTCCGAGGTACAATTATAAACCGCGATTCGGCGGCAGTGTCGGTGCAATTGGATTAGAAATCCGGCTGATTATGCCCGCGACCGTGCGCCACGGCTGGCGATCCGCGTGGATTATAGCAGAAGTGAATTGTGCGCGTTATGATACGTCTTGACACACCTGCATACCTGGAATAACCAAGCGCTCGATCGTCTGACGACTCCTCTCTCGGGGAGAGACGAGATCCGATCGGTATGATTGACGACTTGCATTCCGAGAGACAGATGTAATCATTGTTTCGTCGTATCGCGGGCAAGAAATACACACATGAATTCGTACGAGATGAGCGCCTTCGTCAATGATGTTCAGCAGCATGAGAAGACGGCGAGCACGGCAGGCCATGTGAGCATCCACGTCGCGGCCAACGATACCGTGCCGGGGGAGGACGTGAAAAATGGCAAATTCAACAAGTCGACTCAAAGCGATATCTCGCACTCGACGTGGAAAAAGTCCAGGCCAATATCTTTGACATATCTGTCAGGCCGAGCACAGCCGAGCGAGTCGAGTTACTCCACGCACAGCTCCAGGAGCACGTTGTACCCGGTTCAGAGTGAGTTGGTCTTGTCGCCCAGGAACAAGTACAACAAATACGTGTCCCTGGACATGAGGTCGACCAACAACCTGTCGTATCCTAGTCCGCACTCAAACAACCAACTTTACGGCGGTGGCGCGCCGTACACCTGTTGCTGTACGTGCACTGGTGGCTCGCAAATCCCGCCACCGCCGATGCCGCCTTTGCACCAGACCGAGAATCACGACGGGCCCGAGAGTCTTTCCTGGAGGAGGCTTCACATGAGCAGAGCCAAGCTGAAAGCAACCGCCACTACGTCCGAGCTCCTCAGCGGCTTCGCAATGGTACGTTTAGCAGTTGGCAGTCTTATCTCCGCACGATGCAGCTATTGTGTGTCGTTAGTTATCCCATCCCACGGCAGCTTCTCTCGTAGATGTCTCCAAGATATTTGGAGAAACGGTTTTCGCACAAATACACGTGTTGATTTTTGCTCTTCATTAAATACAAAGATCCTCTATTGCCGCCTATGTGTCGCTGTCGCGACGTCCCGTAAAGCGATAAAACGTCCAAAGTCCGCTGGAAAAAATTACTATCTTTATATTGTGAAGAAAAAATGGAAGATAAAAACAATCTTACTATCAATAGCGTGATAAGACAAGTCCCGCGGAGAAAAAATTTCTCATAAGTTTTATCAAGGTAAAATATTGAGTTATGATGTCTTGATGATCATTTAGATAGGATTGTTTTCCTGGAAATCAAACTGCTGTCGCAGTGAGCTGTACACGATTACACAACGTTTCCTGAAAATGGCTAAATTGACGTCGACGACAATTCTATGCAATCTTCGTGCACATCTGTACAGTTACATAATGCAGATATCACTTTCTTCAATCCGCTTCACTTTTCGCAATACTCCCGCGGATATCTTCCGCAGTTGCTCGTGATAACGATTACAGCGTATGTACTTCAGGTTTTTTTCCCTTTTTCTCCCTTTCTAGGTTGCGATGGTAGAACTGCAAATAAACGAGCCGACCGCGGTGCCAGAGTGGCTGTTCGTAATGTTCGCTGTCTGTACTACTTTCCTGGTATCGGTGCATATCTTCGCGCTGATGATAAGCACGTATCTTTTGCCTAATGTCGAAGCCATAAGCAAGCTGCAGGTGTCGAGGCTCGTAACGGAATCGCCGCACGAGAGAATGCGCGGCTTCATCGAGCTGGCCTGGGCGTTCTCCACGGTTTTAGGATTGTTCCTTTTTCTCGTAGAGGTGGCCATTCTCTGCTGGGTCAAGTTCTGGGACTATTCCTTCACCGCCGCCACTGCCAGCACCGTGATAGTTATTCCTGTGCTTATAGTGTTCGTTGCGTTCGCTGTTCACTTTTATCATTCTTTGGTAGTTTACAAATGTGAAAGTGCGGTGTCGGACATGAAGGATTTGGAGAGTATAAAGAGGCATCTGGACAGCGTGACGATAGGACAAACTAATGTATAAACTTGAGACGCAATGTGACTAAATCTGTAAGATATAATCAGTTATTAAGTTGCTTTAGATGAGAAAAGGATGCGTGTTGAACTTAGGATAATGAATAACAAAAAAAAAATTGTATTTTATAATCTCTATTGGTTCATATAGGTAAGAGATGTCACACTCAATCTGAAACAATCGCGAAATAAATTAGAATGTCAAACGAGAATAATATAAGAAAGACACTTACGGACTTTTGTTGTCAATAATTTTACTTTTCAAACGTGACCATGCGAAAACGGTCAAGTTTTATTATATATAAAAATGTACATATATATTAGCTGTACACATGCAAGTCAAGAATTGCAACAGTACAAGCAAGTGCTCTTAGTTACTTATTACTTATAATATCCAGCATTTAATTATATTCTGTATACAGTTTAACTCTTGATTTTTATTTAAACCTGTTCCTTGTTCTGTTTATCTCTATCATACGTCGTATCACTAATATATAATATTTGTTTTTTACTCTATCACTTAGTTTGTGGGAAAACTGAAGGACAGTTGAGTACTTATTTTGTATATACACTTCTTGAAATTTACATAATGAGCATGTTTAGTATTTGTAATCCTAGTCAATAAATGAATCGTCAGACTTCAAAGATGTCCAGTATAAGACGTGATTCGTCATTAATATTATAAAAAATAAAGGTATACAATTAACACACCTCTCATTTTTACCATAAACTAAGTTATAACCTTACTTGATAAATACTTTCTACAATATTATGTCTCAGCTTCTTTTGTACAAAAACATTCATCGATCGAAGGAATCTTTGTGAGCAAAACGAGAAATAAAATTGCATTAGCAACGAAAGTATTATAATCTCGTGTTGCGATATAAGTTACAAAACTGTATTGCACAATGCCTCTAATCAATATTCGTAAACTCCTTCTTCCTTAATTCTTTAGGTACGCTATATGTCGTCTTCAAAACACTTCCAATTATTTGCTTGATAAGCAAAATTTCTCTTTAGGCATGGCGTAAACTTCACTACAGTATAATTCACAACTGAAGTTATTTCTATGTACATTGGAAGAAAAAAATTTTAAATATACGTCACAGAAGTATAAACACTATATTGTAATATATTTTGTTAAAATAGAAAAGGAAAATGAAAGAGAAATCACATATAGTTGGAAAATCAGTGATTCCAGTGCTATAAGCACTCTCTGCAATGTACAAAAATATGTTTTGAAGTAAGATAACTTAAAGAATCGTGTAAAACTGTGTCTTTGTAATTCTTTGATCAAATAACAGAAATAATATATGCTCTGTTACTCATTTTACATACGTGATTGTATATCATAAGATGTAAAAATAATTTATTCAATATTTCAACCACATGATAACGATGTAGAATGAATTGCTTGTGCTATGGACAGGTAGACAAATAAAGAATGATAACATGGAGAACATAGTCACTACAAAATTAATGGAATATACCCAACTTAATAGTGCTGGAAGTACTTTCTTTGTATAACTTAAAATCGTGTTAATTAAAAGAAAAAGTTCAAATCCTACTTCTCTACACTGAAAAGATACACAAGTACGCGGATTAAATTACTTATTAGTTTGGATAATTGAATAATTTAACATCCGTATTGTATCTTTTTATAGAGTTTTTCTTTCTACTATGCAAAGGTATCGCTTCCAAAAACTTGTAATGATATATTCTACACGATAATGCGCTTATCCAATTAATATAAGTTATGAGTTATCGTCCCGATGTACATGTAGATTCTTAATAATTCGTTAAATATGATAATATAAAAGAAATGATTCAAGTAATCTTCAAATACCTAATTAATTGGTGACTATGTTTCGTGTAACCTATATTTTAAAGTAAGAGACAATATGAAAGCAACAATTATTCCACCTCTCTTAGATATAATGTAATATATTATATTATATATAGAGAGAATATATATATTATATATATATATATATATTATTATAGTTTATGAGATACTATATAAATTGGATCCAAGAGAAAGGTAGAATGGAAAATCTCGCGCGCGTTTATCTTTCAGAAATTACTTAATAAATTGGCTTTCATACATATTATCTTCAGTCTTGTCCTTAAATAAACATATAGTCTTTCTGACAGCCTATCCATAGCAGGAGCCTGATTAGAAACCTTCATATTCAGAAATATTCAGAAACAAATCTCACTGTATAATTACATTCATCGATTTTCATATTATATTCACATTAAATTCTACTTTGAAAATAATATTAGATAACTTTCCCGAAATAGACTTTTTTTAACAATAAACAAGCAGCGAGAGGAAACACGATATCAGAAAGCGTGCCGCTTGAATGACTACGAATTACAAATTTATGTCTTTATACGTACAAAAATGATAATCAATATGTGTGTATATATGTGTGTGGGTATATGTGTATATACACACACACATATATATACACACACACACATATATGAATAATAGTATTATATTACTCTGTTCAACGTTAAACGAACTTTAAAATAAAGTCACAACCAACACGCACATGTGTATTGGATTCTTATCCAAACGCGTTCCGATAGTTTATATATATATATATATATATATATATATATATATATATATATATATGTATGTATGTATATATGTATATATATAGATAAATTATCCTAACCATAACTATACATATTACGTACAAGTAATTCGATTCTGGTTGAATAGCAAATCGAAATGATATTTTGCAGTGAGTTTTTCAACTCCATTCATAACTGAATTTCGAGAGAGTAGTATTCAATGTCGTCTGATTGAAAGTAAATACTTTGAAAACCTTTTACACTTTATCAATAAGATAATTCTACAGTAGAAGTGAAAGACTGTCATTTGTTCGTTAAATTAACCACAAGTTACATAGTTTTTAGTTGTTATATAGTAGCTTGAGATAATGATAATTATCAGTTGCATTATCTACTGCACAATATCTATTCGTATCCTCAACATCAAGTTAAGACACAGAAAGAATGCCAATAATAATGTGTGTCACTTGGCATTCTGGAAATATTCTCAGAGAATTGGCTGCGTTCAGCAGACGTTGACGCGCTACATTAGCATTGTGTGCGGCATTTCCAATAGCTGGAAGGTTTTACTGAACGCTCTTTTCGATTATTAAGCGGTTACGTTTCCATCACGTTGCATTTGTTAGGTATATTTTCAATATGCTGGAAAAGATGGCTTAGCTAATGCATTGAAATAACACAAACCAGCAAGACAATGTTTAATGGGGGAATCTTACAACAGTTGCAAAACTACTTTTTTCTGCTGAACGCAACCTGTCTTTCTATATATCGTTCCGGTAAAAAGTTTCTTTGCAGCGCTAACACTACACTCGTGTGTGACATTATATTACATCTAAATTATTCATGCGGTATAATCTCCATTCACACCGCGAAAAATTGCATTGATCTTTAGATCTGAATTGTCCTCTGTATGTCGTATTGACTTCGAAAAGAATATGGATGTATCATATGTGTATGTATGTGTGTGTATACGTAGAAAAAATTACTTACATAAAATGACCTCGATGAAAACAAGAATACGAAGTTATGTGGTGATAAATCTCATGCAAGAATTTCGCATCCAATACAGTATAATATACAGAAAGCCATGACTCTTGTCAAACTTCCATGTGTTTTGAAGGTTGTTGAGATATGAATGGTTCACTCCACATCCGACGTAAATCTCCCTGAAATTAACACACAAATAGTGCTTTATGTATATTTTGCTTTACACAAGATATTATTGCGTGCGTATATGTATGCAAAGATAATAAATACGCAGACAGGAGCACATTTCAATATTATGACCGTTATCTCAATTATTTCAATTGCTTCAGAAATGTAAAAAAATACCTTCAAATATGCCATCGTGAGCAGTGGCAACAGAGTGAAGGGCACAAGGTACAATAAGGCAGGCTGCGCAGCTTTGAACACCTCAGAGCTTACAGTGGCGGTAAGTAGACCAAGAAAATAACCGATCAAGGAGCAATGAAAATAGCTAATCCGACTGAGATGACGTGGTGGCGGTACTCCGGTTTCGCAGCCACCGGGCAACAGCTGAGTCTTCTTATACGCATCGTAACGCAGGACAAAACAGAGCAATAGGCCTGGCATAACGACGTCGCCTAAACCCAACATCGAGAAGTGTCCTGCTTGATGCATCGATGGGAATACCAGTTTTCCAGGTAAAGGTAGTTTCGGCGCGGCTCTGGCCACGCCGCCTAAATGTAATCTCCTAGCTACGACACTCACTGGATTATCTGCAGGCCTAGTCGCTACCTGCAAATTATAATAGACACGGATTGTAAATATACTATCATTATTGCGCTTTCAATTAGTATTTGTCTTACAATGTATTGTTGTAAAGGAAATATCGCGGCATAGAATGATATTGATTCGAAAATGAGGCAAAATGTGCTAATTTTTTCATACTTATGGAACATATATGCATACACTTAGTCTCGATACACTTTCCTCTCGTCGCAATATGGAACGTCGTCGATGGTCCAATGAGAGAACTTAACTTCTAGGAATTGATAAGGAAAACAAGTTCTTTCATTGTACCCCATCGGCTGCGTCCTAAATTGCATCAAGACAAGAATGTTTAAGCTGTATTGAAAAACCACAAAAATGTATGCATATATAAAATATATATAAGACACATAAGATTTGCAAAAAAACTCACCTTAACCATTACATTTGTGCTGAATATATAGGACGAAAAGAAAACCCAGAAGACATCGTAAATCAGCAGTCCGGTTAATAATAACGTGGATACCTTGAGACTAGGTAGTCGAACAAATGCGATAAATGCCACACACAGGCCCATACCCATCGCATCCATCAGCAACCAATGTCCAGTCAAGACCCAGATGCACACTATACTCACACTAAGCGAAAATGAGAGTAATTCGGCACCGGTAAACCTCCCGCAAATACCAAAGGATATTTTATTGCCATCGGAGCATGGCCTGATAATGTACTGACACATAGGCAGTAAAAGAAATGCCAATGCAACTGTAGCTATAACTGCAACAAAAAAAATTACGCCACTGTCACCGTCCTTAATTAAACGTACCACATATCCTATATTAAACTAGTTCTATATTAAATTGCATTCGTGCATCTTCAGTTATTTTGCGCATAAAAATTTACTGCGTATCATGAAGAGTTTACAGATGAGTGTGAGCTCACTTTAGACTCGACTAGTTACTCACTGGCTGTACAAATTGCAAGAAGCATCTGCATACTGTCGAAGAAGAAAAACATGACGAGTAGAGAAATGGAAGCACCGAGAGGTAGACAGAGAGCATGCATTGTATCCAGAGTTTGAACTCTTCCTCCGTTGGCACCGTCCGCATTGCCGGTGCTACCGTTACTCGTAATCCCAGTCAATAAGTTACTACGTTCCTTCTCTTTTTCTCTTTCCCTCGCCTCCTGTTCCATATTTAGAGATCGGAAACTACCATAAACTATCAGTAAAATTGATATTAGGAAAGTGGATATCCTAGATGAATCCATTATGGAATAAGCCCTGCAACAAAGCACAATAATAATAACTGTCAAACTTGAGTATTAGAGAAGAACAGACACCGTGTCAACAAATGCATACTAACCACTGGTAGTCGACTTGATACGTGGCCATGATTAAGAATGCCTGGCCGCGGCACTCGGAACGCTATACAAGGACACCTCCTGGCATTTAGATGTCCCTTATCAAAGTGCTTCTCATTCGCACTGATCAATGTCGGAGATCATCTGCGACTATTATTAAAAAAAAAGGAGAATCATTAATTCTGTCACGTAGGAGAAAGTCTGTTTCTTTTAGTTGAACTAGACTGCATTTATTGGTAATGTTCAGTGAACACAACAGTTGAGTGATCTACTTTTGGAAAGTGAATATTATTGATAAGTATATTACTGATAGATAAAAATGTACATCAATTATAGATAATTTTTGCTTTACAGTTTAACCGTTGTGTTTTCTGAACACAGCCATTGCTTTTAAAGTGAAACAAGTATGTAATTTAGTGTTAAAGGGAAAAAGAATAAAGTTCCAATGCAGTTCATTAGTTTAGCTAAAACAGAGAACAAAAATTATCATAGCTAACTAGAGTTTTAATCTTATCCAGAGGTTTGATCTTATCAGCTGAACCAGATAGTATTTTTGTTTTACAAATGAAAGAAGTATATAGCTCAGCATTGAAAACAATAAAGTTCCAATGCAACAACAGTTCAACTAAGAAAAACAAAACTTCTATCATAGCTAATTAGAGTCCAGAGATCTTTTCAGCTGAATCAGGTAGCACTTTTTGCTTTTAGAATGGAACAAGTACGCAACCTAACATTGAAGGGGAAAGGAATAAAGTTCCAATGCAATGATAGTTCAACTAAAACAAACAAGACCTATCACAGTTAGTCAGAGTCCAGAGGTCTGTTCTTTTTATTTAAACCAGATAGCACTCTTTGCCTTTAGAATGAAATAAGTATGTAACTTTTACTGTATAGTTCACTGACAATACTTAGACAAATTGATCATTAACATATGTAACCTAAAACATCTTCTATTATAGATCTGACCTTGTATCTCGACCGACATACTTTTCAAGCTATCAAGAAATTTGTCAAAAATTCTCAAAAGAGAATTTAATCTGGATATCTCGAGCTATCTTTGAAACTCATCGAACCAATCAATCTGTACATCGTTGAGTCACATATGCAATAATCTTTTGTTGCTTTTAGGCTAGTCATTGAAAAGAGAAGAAACATGTAATCTTTCTGACATTGAAAGGGAAAATAACAATGCTCCAATGCAGCATTAGTTCAGCTAAAAAGAACAGGCCACTTGTTATAATTACTCAGAGTCAGGAAGGTCATTGTACACACCTGGTACACTTTGCGCACGGCATTATTGGAATGAGCTGTTCGGAAGCCTCGGGTTACTCCTTTGGTAACGCAATGCAACAAGAAACAGATTCCACGCTGAGATTCTACTTGATTTACAGTGTAAACAGCACGTCGACGAGAAGCGAGTTCGACGGGGCAAGGTGACGAGCGGGCGACATGATCGCGCGACTTGCTTGGCGATATTGCGGTGAAGAGCGGCCTAAGAACGCGCGCGAGGAGGCGCTGGTCGTCGTACCGTGACCGCGGCGACGTCGTCGGGCCGCGGCATCTCTCGCGCGGAGGATCGCGTCCGCACGGCCCAGGGACGCGACGCCGAGAGAGAGCGTTAGCGCAACGCGCGTCCCGCGTCTCAACGATCAGCCTTGCGTGTTTGCGTCCGTTCGTCTGTCTGCCCGCTCGCTCGTTCGTTCGTTCGTGCGTGCGTGCGTGCTGCGTGCGTAAGTGCGTGCGTGCGTCCACTTTCGAACTTTCGCTCGCGGAAAGCGCGTACCGCGCGAAGACGCTCGAGGAAAAACGGGGACGACGCGCGCGCGGATCGACTCGCCCGGAACGCGGAGCGCCGCGTTGCGCCGTGATGCTTGTATCGTGGTACGCGTGTCACAGCAGCAGCGTGCCAGTGCGGCGTGCCCAGCAGCAGCAGCACAGCTGATTGGTACCGCTATTTACACATTTAAACGTCGCGAGCGGCTACGGCTCCCGCACGGACGACGACGGCGACGGCGACGGCGACGACGACGGAACGAGGAGTCACTCGCAGCGCACGGACGTTCACCATTTTGGTAAACACACAAACGAGTCACGTGACTGGCCCTGGCCCCAACCAGAGGTTGCTACTCCCTTACCCTAGATCGGCCGCCTCTTGACAGCGATTTCTGGCCCGTTGGGCTCGCGACGTCGTCCGCCTGCGACCTCACCTGGCCGGTCCCGCAGGTCTGACCCCTTCGCGATCCGAGACTGAGCATCACTTCATCAGCCCTTGCCGCGAGCCCGCCCTGCGAGTTGAATGAAACGGAACTGGCTGACAACAACAGCAACAACCAAAACAATGACGATGATAACGACGGCAGCGACGGCGACGACGACGACGAGATGTTGAATGTTTTAAGAGCGCGAAGTTGCCCGATACTATACTTCCACCGTGCAGGTCACTGCTGCTGCTGGACGTGACAAGCGCAGGTCTATCGTGAACTCGTTTGTTGTCGGATGTTCGAAATTCAACAGCCCCTAGCCGCATATGAGACATACCTCATATAGGAGCAGAGCACTTCGTTCACTGCAGTATGAATATTTTGTGCTGTTCTTTCTGTATTCTGAATCGAGTGTCATTTGTTCACGTTGGTCGAAAATTTAAATTAAAGAGTGTCAGGGACGTATAGACATTTGCGTATGAGTTCGAGCAAAAAGATAGATTATTTGCTGTGACACCGAAAAATGCATTTTAAGATAGAAATCTGGAGTCGTATAAAATAAATATGTCTAATTGATAAAATGTGATTCGGAAGAGCGACAGTAGGTTTCAATTTGGTAGCATTTAAGGGCTGACAAGAGGAACGAAAAGAGACAGAAATTACTAACATTTGCAATAATTCCTAGTAACTTTTGTATACCTTCTGTTTTTCAATTAATCTACTTTTATCTTTTATCTTTATAGTGAAACAAATGTGCAGCTCGATATTGGGAGCTTTCCAGTTGCAATATCCCTAGACACTTTCATGCACACAGCAAATTGCTTTCCAATTGTCGTAATCGTCGACATAACACTACACATCCGTGGGTTACACGACATTTTCCCGAAAACTAGATGGAAAAATGTTGGTACCAACAACAAAAACCCTTAAGTAACACAATTTTAATTTCTACGAATTAGTGACAGTTTGTTATTTGACATGTACACACGTGCATGTCAAAACGATTCCGCAAAACTCATGGACTTGCTACTTCACAGTATCACTAATCCGCAGAAATTAAAATTGTTGCCTAGGAGTTTTTTTGGTACCACCATTTCCCCCATTTAGTTTTCGGGAAAATGTGTTATGGCTCTCGCAGGCCAGCGCGATTTGCGACGCGACACACGATATGCGATATTCAATGAGCGTACAGCTTTTCCAGAATACCAATACGCTCATTGGATATCGCTCGTCGCATATCGTGTGTCGCGTCGCGCATCGCACTGGCTGCGAAAGCCATAAAGCCCGTATCAGACTACGGATTAAGATTGAGATTGAATTGAAAATTAGCCAATCAGAGCAAAATTCACTAAGCTTAAGTTTGGTGAACTTTGCTCTGATTGGCCAATTTTCAATTCAATCTCAATCTTAATCCGTAGTATGATACGGGCTTAAGGCTGAGTTCCCACTGAGCGCGTCACGCGTCGCGTTGTCTGCTGCGTCACGAGTTAACCAATCAAATCGTTCCATTGGAACAAGTGTGTCGTGCGTCGCGCGCGCATCCCAATTAGAGGATTTGATTGGTTAACTCGTGATGCAGGCAGACGACGCCACGCGTGACGGGCTCAGTAGGAACTCAGCCTACTAGTCGCTGTGTAAACTAGTGTTTTCTAGTGACAATTAATAAGGCTGCGTTGCGAAATTCACTGCCAGTACTGAAATTTTATAATATACGTAACATGAACTATAGATTTTCAGTACTGGCAGTGCATTTCGGAACGCAGCCTAAGTATGACGGCTTGAAAAGAGGTTGGCATTTGCGATGTGAAGTGTATAATATTTTATTTATTGAAGATAGAAAAAGTATGGACAACAAATAGTATTAGTCCAGTTGCCGCGCGGCAACTGGAATACGAATGTGTAGTGTTGTGTCGACGATTACGACAATTGGAACGCAACTTGTGTTGCCGTGTGCATGAAAGTGTCTAGGAATATTGCAATTGGAAAGCACCCAGTAATGTTTCCGAACATAGCCCTAGTATATTCAGTCGAGTTCGCCACTAGTCGGGCTAATCTTGACGTAGAAGGCGCCACAGGCACAAACTGTTTGAAATACACGGTGATGGTGCTGGCAGCGGAGAGAAGATCCGAGAAGGTCACGCGACTCTGTTCGAAGGTTATCAGAAGTGTGACGTTTCCTCGCTCTGAGGATCTTCTTGATTGATTAAATCGACATCGCTGCACGCCCGACACTACCATCAAACATGCTGCCGCGATTTCTGAGGCCAACTCTAACCGCTGCTCAACAAGGAGCTAAGCGGCTGTCCACCAGTGCCAGAGTGAGTATCGTAACGAGGAGCCAATCTTGAATCCGCGCTCAATTGAGCATTGATTAATGTTGATGCACCGCGAAATCATTCACCCCAAGTATGCTCGGTAATAACTGCTTTGTACGAGCTTCTGTTGTTTCACTCCACATTGTGTTTATTCATTGCGCGTTTGATATGGATAGATCTGAACAATCTGTTTACCGTGCATGATAATGTCACTGCATGAATCTCGTTCCATATCCGACGTGAAGGTGACAAATTGTGCCGCGCTTATCAATTACGTGGGAACTTGGCCTGGCACGTCATCAAAGTGCGATATCTAGTGTATTTGGAGCGCTGATGTTATGCAACTGCGAATTATTTGGCCCCGTCGCTGACACATTAAATTGGCACGTGAAAGCGCTTTCAAATGCTGATCCTGGCATGACCACGAATAAATTTCAACACCTCATACGCCTAATCCTTCGCACCAAATTACCTAACAAGTAAATAAAATTGTTGTCAACCATATTATATATCAGCATAGGGAACACGAAGAGAAGAGATATGAACCATGTTTGGGAAATGGACAAAAGCAAGATTCAAGTACGATTTAGAGTAGAAGAAGTAATCAGGAACAGGGATTGGGGTACTATGAGAATAATATATAAGTTTTCTAATGTATATAGGCAAATAAGTATAAAGGAAGCATAGTCAAGAATTTTAGGATTCACTAACCCATACAGCACAAATGTCTAGGATATATCTTTGAGATATTCTAGAGATGTCAGAAAGTAAATAGGATATCTTTCAGATATCATTGAATTGTATTCTGAACATTTGTGCTATACATGGGAGAAAATTAAAAAACATTTTTGCTGAGTAAGAATCCGCATACATTACATGAATACTACACCAACATTAAACTTAAGAATTAATTATATTGCCAAAGATGGTAATGATATTATCATGATATTATCCTGATCTTAAAACGTTATTTTTATATATTTTCCAGGAATTTTAATAAACCTTTAAACTTGAACATTAATATAAGGTTTTCTTGATTAATTTAAGATTGCCTTGTTAAATTAATATTATTTCAATGTCTATCAAAATATAACTACCTTACTGCAATAATTCAATTTAGAACGTCATAATATAGAAAAAAAACATAAATTTTGATAAGATATTTAGCAAATTAAATATTTCTACCACAATTTTTTATCATAAAACATTTGATACGCTCAAATTGTCATACATAATATGTCTGATTACGTAAAATCACGCTTTCGTTACGTTACGATTTTTTTTAGCGTTGACTTGAGTTTATTATTTATAGACTTCCGTGTTCTTTTTTGCGATCGCACTTAACGTAACTTAAAGCATTACGAATGTTCTTGTGCGGAGGCTCTAATATCTTGATTAATTTCTCTGTGCTCAGTGCGATACCAAGGTTGCTGTAATGGGAGCAAGTGGCGGCATTGGCCAGCCACTGTCGTTGCTCCTCAAGCAATCGCCCCTTGTTTCCGAATTGTCACTGTACGATATCGTAAACACACCTGGCGTCGCAGCCGATCTTTCACACATCGATACACCAGCAAAAGTTAAAGCTTACAACGGCCCAGATCAGCTGAAGGATTCTCTAAAAGGAGCTCAGGTATATCATTATCGTGTTTGTTACAGTATCGTGATGATTATAAGATTATAGGTATCTTTTTAGTTTTGTTATATATAAGTTTTTATATTTTTATTATAAGTCTATAAATATTTTTATTAAGTTTTACAAGTACCTCTATCTTTACTAAAAATATTAGATGAATTATAATAAGTGACTTTCAATTTGAATATTTCAGTTGGAAGTATGTCATAAAATGATTGAGATTATATTTTTAGTTTCACTATAAGATTTTATATTCTTATAAGTTTATAAGTATTTTTATCAATTTATTATTTTTATAAATATTTCTTATACTAAAAATATACTTACTAAAAATATTGCTATGTGGGCTATAAGGAGTGACTTTGAATTGAAACTCAGTTGAAAAAATGTGTTATAAAATAATCATGAGATTATAAATATTTTTATTATAAGTATTTTTATTATAAGTTTATAAGTATTTTTATCAATTTTTATTTTTATCGATATGTTTTCTTATTTTTATATTTAACTTCATAAGATATATTTTCTTATCTTTTTAATTTATCTATTATAAAATTGGCATTATTCAAACCTGAATGTTCTGCTGGAATATCTTATTAATAATTTTTACCTTTTTTTAGGTTGTTATCATACCTGCTGGCGTCCCACGTAAACCAGGCATGACTCGTGACGATCTCTTTAATACAAACGCTTCCATTGTCCGGGATCTCGTAGTCGCTATGGCAGAGGTTGCGCCGAAGGCCTGCGTAGCAATCATTTCGAATCCCGTTAATAGCACAGTACCGATCGCCAGCGAAGTGCTGCAGAAAGCAGGTGTCTACGACCCCAATCGCGTCTTTGGAGTAACTACGTTGGATATTGTCAGAGCAAACACGTTCATTGCGGAGGCAAAAGTATTAAATTTTTGTCTATGGCACGTTAATCATATGCAATGTAAAATAACAAAGGCAAACTATTGTCTTCCTCATTCAATGAAAGTTTAGTTTTATCCCAAATTAAACATTTATTTCGTCTTCTGAAAGATAATTTTTTAATAATTGAGTAATTTTTATAATTTTTTTCTTACGTATAACAATTCCAATCTAATGTATAATTTTTCTATTACATAATATTTTTTCTTCTAACATAATAAAATTTAATTATATACATATGTTTTTAATCTTTTTCTTTTTGTGTATTTGTTACGATAATGTTAACTGACTGATTTTTCAGAGCCTGAATCCGCAGAAAACATCCGTGCCGGTTATTGGCGGGCACAGCGGCATCACGATTATTCCACTGATTTCGCAGTGTACACCATCGGTTTCGTTCCCAGACGATAAATTGAAGGCGCTCACGGAGAGGATCCAAGAGGCCGGTACTGAAGTCGTCAAGGCCAAAGCCGGCACTGGATCCGCGACTTTGTCGATGGCTTATGCGGGCGCGCGATTTGGTATCTCGTTGATCAGAGCGCTCAATGGAGAGGCCGGTATTGTCGAGTGCTGCTACGTTAGATCGAACATTACTGATGCCAAATACTTCTCCACGCCGGTGCTCTTGGGTGTAAGTAGATAGGCGACCGTCGCGATCTAATCACGCGGCTAATACTAATCGCTTGGAATTTTAGAAAAACGGATTGGAGAAGAACTTTGGCTATGGTAAACTGAGTAGCTTCGAGCAGAAACTTTTGGACGCTGCTATTCCTGAACTCAAGAAGAATATTCAAAAAGGAGAGGACTTCGTGAACAAGAAGTGAAATGTTGGATCTAAATTAAACAAATCGTGAGATATGCCGGATTGCACAAGAAGGGAATGCGATCGGCCTTTGTTACTCATCCTGTAATTCAGTGACGAATCGTCACTACGATCGTATCGAGAACCAAACATTTTCTCAATTACAGTGACCACGAAAATCCCGCGAATATATCTCGATATCTGATAATATATATATGTATATACGTATGTAAATGTTTAACTAGTTTGTTAAACTATAAATTGTATTATAATACAAGGATAAACTGCCAAGCGGAAATATAAGTATATAAAGTAGTGGGCAAAAGAAATAATAGAAGCCTCAGGTTGTAATTAAAATACTTTTTCGAGGAACATCTTGTATAATGTAGCACAAACTTAAATAAACAAATTTTCGATTAAATATGATTTTTTTTGCAAAATTTTCATGTTTATAACTTTCATCGAGTTAAACTTTGACGTTGGTTCTTTTCTGAAAGAAAAGAGTTAAACTTCTTTTCGAATTGAGAAGATAAATTATACGAATTTGATTATAAAATCAATCCTAGTAAGAGAGAGATTCACTTTAGAATCAATTTGAACGATATCCAGGATTATCCGATAAGGCAGATTTGTCGAAATAATGAATTTATCTGATAGGTTTGCGCGCGCACGACGACAAATCGCATCGTCATCGCGTATAAACACCAAACAAATAATAGAAATACACAGTTTGCTGTGTAACCTTGAGACAAACACTGTGAGAATCTCAAGCGTTGAAGTTAACAATGGTTCCTTCGCTTCTACAAATCTACACGAAAATACAGCATAATAAGTACGAGTCGGGACTTAATTAAGGTAGTTATATTATGAAACAAGTTTTGTGTAAGAACTTGATGAAACTTGCGCTACATGCACGGTGAAATCTTATCCAACTGCTCATGCAGTTGGAAAAAGATTGACCACTATTAGGAAGCAAAATATAAGAGTGATATTTTGATTCGATTGAATAGCTTGTACGTGATGTTGTACACACAATAACGGTGATATTTTCACGATGTGAAGACTATAGCGTGACGAAACGATGGCGAGACGTAAACGGGCGCGACAGGAGGCCTCGTTCTACGAGGTCCAGGAGTCATTCCGAGAGAACGCTCGTCTGACGATGCTGCAGCACTCCTTCGCGTCTTCCTCCTCCTCCTCTTCCTCCTCCAGTTCGGCGAACGAGGATGCGGCGGACTCGCGTCGGCGTTCTCCGGAGTCGATGTTGTACGAGTCGCCGCGGCTGGACCTGCTACAGTGCCGTAAGGAACTCAGTCCCGAGATCGTCCTGAAGACATCCCGAGTCAAACTCAAGCCAGAGGACGTACATGAGGACGATGACGCCGAGGAGGTCGGGGAGAAAGTCACTGCGCGGAACATCGAGCGATCGGAATCGGAGCTGTTCGAGACGCGGCAAATGGATCTGCTACTGTGCCATGAGCAGCTTAGTCCTGAAGTCGCGCTTAAGTTCTCCAAAATAAAGAATCACGAGAACGACGTGAGAAAAGTCACCCACTAAAAAAATCCGATTAATAGAAATATACGCAAATTTCATTGAGATACACTGAGAGAACGAATGTCTAAATAAGAAATATTTATTCGATGTGTGTCAATAATATATTTACTTATACTAATATATACATATTTTTCTACATTGAGAAAAAATTTCTTTAAGGAAATTTGTGAATATATTTCCCTAAAACCGTTACTTCTCACAAAAGCAATTTATTCTATTTAAACTCAGGAACTATGACTTAAGTAAATATATTATTTAGCAGCCATCGAATAATATTTTTTTAATTTTTGTTCTCTCAGTATGTACTTAGTACACTAAGAAAAAATAATTATTGAAAATTTGTTTATAGGATACAGAGTTTATTCACAGAGAGAGAAGTAAACCTTATATTCCATAAGTAAATTTTTCTCAGTGTACTGTTTGATTTTGTCTGAACTTACCATTTATATCGAAAGCTTCAATTTCTCACATTTCAGCTCATATAAAAAAGCTATCAATTTCTTTCATTTTATATCGTAACTTATTTCTAACTAATAAACTAAGATTTATCTAAATATACATGTCTTTCTATGTGATTTTATATACAGGGTGGACCATTTTAATCCATCCAGTCGAATATGTCGAAAACCAAGCACGGGAGAGAAAAATGTTTCAGACAAAAGTTGTAAGGCTTAAAAAAACGCATTCAACAATAGTAGTTATTTGACATAGGATGGCGTCGCCAAGGTCAGAACAAGGTCAACTTTGCTTTTTTAAATAGAAATACATATTTTTTATT